TATATCTATCGTCTATTTTACTAATCTTCTATTACATATACAAAATTACATTGGTAAATAGTTAAAAACATCTTTCTTCTTTCTTTTTTTTTTTTTTTTTGAATGTTTTCATATTGTCTTGATATTCAATATTGAAATGTATGTCATTGAATTACTATGGAATAATTGTTCGTTCAATTGTTTTCATTATTATTATTATTTATTTTATTACAAACATTCCATGAAATAGTGAAACTACAAACGTTGAATGATGAATTATATACTACTTATATTATTGGAAAACAGTAGGATGTTATCATTCATTGTTTTTTTTTTGTTTTGTTTTGACAATAGACTGTATGTTATGTGATGGAGGATTGTACAGACATTTTTAAATTCATTTTGAATATATCATGAACTAAATATTAATTTTCAACTGGTAATTATTATAATCAGTAATGTAATTTACCAATCTTTGTCGTCGTATATATCATATTATCAGAAGGGGTTTGTGGAGATTTTAGAAATTTCACAGATTGAAATCATGAGTCAGTTGAAGCTAGACCACCATGGAAAGCCTGAAAGCACTGGAAAGCCGTTTCGTCCTAGTGTGGGACTCCTCAGCAGTGCGCATCCATGATCCTGCACCCCACGGGACTCGAACCTAAGACCTACTGGCTTAACCATTAGACCACTGAGCCGGCATCCAACAGTGTTAATGTCCAACTTCAACCAATCCACGAAGTTGCGCCACCGTATACCATTGTCTTGAATGAGTTGATATCTCACAACAAACCTGGTTGGACTCCACCGGTAACGGCTTCATACTAGAACTCCAGGAGTATCTCTTGAAGTCAGTCACTAGTGAGCAGCCGTTACCAGTGGAGTCCAACCAGGTCTGTTGTGAGATATCAACTCAGTCTGTGAAATATATATCATTTCCCGAATAGATTAATTTCATATTAGCATATTTCTATATTAGTTTTTGTCACTGTTATAACTTATGAATCTGTGTGCCCTGTTATTGTATAACGCAACAAATTATCGATCGAACCAGTGACTCATAAAACACGTGCGAGCAACCTAGAGTCCTGATTGACCTCGCTCCCTGTCTAGCACAGCCAGTTAAGTCCAAAATACCAAATGTCAGCCTCTGCAATATGAATCATTCTGGGTTTATATACCAATCAAACCGACCACAACGTACCATAAAATAGAAAATAACTTTGTACAACATCTGACCAAAAATGGCTGTGAATGAGAGAGATAGTAATTGGTAGACCAGGCATAACTCAAGAATGGTAAATCGTATAATAATAGTTCATGGGTGAAAAATCTCACAATAAGAGGGATATGAATATGAACAGTTTAGTTACATAACAATTATACGATAAAAATATACTCATGGTATTGGTTCATAATTGGATCCCAAAAATTACCATTCATTATTCTTATCGGGATATAACAATCACATTTCACAAAGGATTTGTAGTAGAATCTAGCTACTGTGTTCTATCCCATTTAGATCTTGTCAGTTGGAAATTAATTTATCAATGGAGCTATTCCTGTTTAATCAAATAAGTTCTTCTCATATCATGGATTTATGTTGATTTTTCTTTATCGAGACCATGAATCGACTCATGTTAGACTACCATTGAAAATCTGGAATAACTGAATGACTGTTTCATCGTATTATGGGACTATTCATCAGTTCGCATACACGATGCTGTTTACAGGATTTAAACTCAGGACCTTCGACTTCATGATCGAGCACTTAATCTCTACACCATTGAGCTGGCATCCGACGGTGTTAGTGTCTAACATCAACCAATCCACGAAATCGCGTGACCACCTTCCATTGTACTGAGGTAAATACCTGTCTCGAACCCAGTACCGTTCAATTCAATCTCCATTCACTGTTAGACGTTATTCATCCTTGTTTAGAATCCTTATGATCTAAGGCAATATAGAGGCTCTACCACTATGTGACTTGAGTCGACAACTGCATCTCTGTGCTAATGTGGTGTGACAACTCGAACTGATGTATGTACGTACGAAGGTCTGAGTTCTGACTGACTGACTGCTCGAGGCAATCCATACAAGATACACATATGCCAACAGAAGATTGATCAATTACAGTTCTAAACAATAAAAAATGAATTAAAATATACCTGTTATAAGTGTTTTATCAATGTCAAAAATCTTTATATTCAGTTATATATATATTTGACAAATAATTTGATGTATTGCATTAATTTCAGACATTGTTCCGAATTGTCTTTTTTTGGTCATCAATAAACTACTACAGAATTACATTCGAGTCAAATTATCATTTAAGGTGTATATTATGTTGAATGAAAATGAACATTTCATTTCAATGTTACTGAAAACTTGATCATATTTTGTTTTAGTTCTGTCTAACTTTTCTTTTCTTTGTTTTTTTTTCGAGGAGAAACGTTTTTTTTTATATTTTCGATAGGATTTAAACAGTTTAGTATTTAATGTATAGGGATGGATGGATATTTTGTCAGTAAACTAAGTGAACATTAGACATAAAACAACTTCAAACTGAAATGATATGATGTTAGTTACTTAGAAGTAGATATGCATATATATATATATATATATATATATATATATATATATATGCAATCAAAAAGGTTTTAGTTATTTCATTTTAATGAGTCGTAATAGTTGGTGGTTGGAGGTGTCGACAGGGTTTCCTCTCGACTACCTCCAACCACCATCTAATCTCAATATATAATGCCCGCAGTGTCAAGTCACCTAGACTGGTGGTCACATTGCAACATGATCGATAGCATTCTATCTGCACTAATAAGGACTAGACACGCACGACATTGATCGCCACCCAGTGATCAATAAATTGAGTCGTAATAGTTTATGATTTATAGCTTATAGTTTATTAGTAGATTAGATATAGATGTGTCGCTCAATTTCGTGGATTATTTGATCTTAAACAATAACACTGTTGGATAAAGGCTCATTGGTCTGTAGGTTACACGTTCGCGCGCGAGACTAATAGGTCTTGGGTTGGAATCTCAAGAGGTGGAATCGTGAGTGAGCACTATGAGGTGTCCAATAATAGGATGAAACGGCTTTCCAGTGCTTCCAGGTTTTCTATGGTGATCTAGCTTCAATTGACTCATGATCTCAACGAATGAGATTCGATGTTTGGTTAATAAAGAGAAAACGTTTAGTACATTAGAGGAGAAATAAATGATACACAATGCAAAATGACAAATATGTAAGAATGTTTTTTAAAAAAGCACATGTGAAATTATGCAGTCTCCGTAAGAACACAAAACTAATATCATAAAGGATAAGCAAGGATTATACTTTTTATTACTACTATATTCCAATACTCTAAAAATATCTCCACTAGTTTAAATTATGGATCATGTTTTACAATACTTGAACTTACTTGCCTACTTATGCCTGTTACTCCTAAACGAGCATAGACCACCGTCCAACATTCTCCAACCCACACTGTCCTGGGACTTCTTTTCTAGTTCCATCCGATTGTTGTTCAGTCTTTTCATGTCTGTTTCCATTTCTCGGCGTAATGTGTTCTTTGTTCTTCCAATTCTCCTTTGGCCTTGAGGACTCCATATGATGGCTTGCTTTGAGACGCAGTTGGGTGCCTTCTTCAATGTGTGTCCTACCTACTTCCAGCGTTTCTTCCTGATATCTTCCTCCATTGGAATTGAGTTTGTTGAATACATGAACAGACTAACTAATATTATACTTTCTACTTCATCAAAAAAGTTTAAATGAAACACCAGTTGGTAACTCATTAAAAAATGACTTTCATTCTGAGTCGTCAATTCATAACGTGACTGTTTTTCCACTTATTCTACTAAAGGGTAGATATATTGCTTTAATCCCATGTGCATAAAATGACTATATCAGCAAAATCAGAGTTTTATGTGGTAACACTCAGAGATTTAGGTTAACTGGCTAATGGAAATTATTTTTAATATCTAGTTATCTTTAAATCAGTTGATTAAAATAACTATCAAATACGTTCGGGTGAAATTTTGCATGAACATTACAAGACACTAAAGTGACTGTACCACTTACGAAATAAGATATGATTTGAAATATCTTGAAGTATACATAAATAAATGTTATTTATCTGCACTCAAGATAATGAGGAAGATAAACATAGTGATCTATTAAAATCTATTGAGGTTTTATACCATAATAGTCATTCAAACTTAAGGAAACTAGGTTAAATAGTGAAATATTTGATAACTGATTGAGGAAATAATGCAATCATTATGCTTGTAAGTATAGTATCTAAAGACAAGTATTCTTTTATTTGTAATAGATTTGCTACAGGTATCAGTTCTTTTATAACAAGTACCTCAGGACAACTGTCATGTAATCCAATAATTATGAATCCAGTGAAGAAAACATAACGATAGTTATGATCACATGTAAATGGTGACCAAAATCTTTTAATAATTTTATTTGATCCAATCAGAGTTTTTCATCTTACATATAGAGTTGTGCAACACCCCTGTTAATATTTACTCAAGTACAACCTAATAATTGAATACTTCATCTAAACAAATGAAATACTGTGTTTTATCCTATATGCAGACTGGGTTATCTTACTCAACAACAGAGTCATTCATTCCATAGGAAAACAATACCGTAGCGTACTTTATAACTTACCAAAACTAGAAAAAGTTAGTAGTTAGTATAGTTTCTATCGACTATGTCTACTTTCAAATTTAGTGCAGTTACGAATCCAGAAGAACTAGTTGGCTAGTTTACGCGAGTTTTTGAACCTTTTAGAAGTGTCCTATCACTCAGCATTATCAAGGATTTTAGCTCATTTTGAGTATATTCCAGTTCATATAGAACCATCAATACTCACTATCAGTGAGACACTACTAAGTCCTCTACTTTTTTCTTGGATGATATCAGTCATATATGTTTGAAATATTCTTTATTTTAATAATATTTTCATATATCGTTTTTTTCTTCTTCAGAATTCCCTACTTTATTCGCCGAATATGAATCACTAATCTGCAAATCTTAAAAATACCATTGCATCAGTGCATGTATGGTTGTAAAGAATATGAAAATGTATATAAAATGTAGAGTGTGCCTATGTATCGGTCTATTTTTCTGTACATATATTGTGAATAATATAGTGAGTAGTGAATTTATGGAGATCCATAGTAAGTTTAATTTCCGTATTTGTGTATTATGTCATTTTATATATACATATGTCGTGAGCGATTTTGTGATAAATGTTATGATATATGGGTTCTGGTTAGTAAAACAGTTAAAGACTTTGAAAGGAGAACGCTGAGTTTAACATGATGCTACGTAACATTGGTGAATGTTTACTGTAAAATATTCAAAATTATGACATTAATCAATAAAGTTTACGCTTCAGGTCATTGACAAATTAATTTCACTTATATTATTTCAAGATTTGGATATCATTAAATAGCATCAAATTAAGTTGCGGGTTATTAAGTATGTAGTTATTCAAAGATGGAGTTTTGTTTCCTGAGCTGGATGGTTTGGTCGTGGAGCTTTCATCGTTCTTCTGAACGACATCATCAGCACAAACTTCATATAGAAGTGAAGTGTTCCCATTAGGAGACACAACCAAAACAAAGTAAACAATGAAAAATTTAAGGCTAGTAAGAACCAATCAACATTGAGGTATACAGAACAAGCTGTGAAATGCATATGAAGAAATTCGAACACTTCACTTCTATCTAAAGTTTGTGCTGATGTCCTAGAAAATGAACTTGATGAAAAAGAAAAGTGATGTTTAATAAATCTTGAAACTGAAGAACTTGAAAATCACTGAAGCTGGTCAGAAGTCGCTGAATTTTAAGTAAACAATGTCTATATCATCACATATTATTTCAAGTATTACATATTAAAATAATAAACGAGCCTTATAATCAGTAGCATGAAAGAGTATAAGTATTTATAATTAACAAACAAATGTATTCAGTATTAAAAGTTTGTGAATGAATGAGTTAGTACATGGAACTTAAATGAATATTATGGAATATCTCCAATACAAAAATAATACAACTAATATTGATGAAGCCGAGTGCTGTGAGTTGAAAATATGCACACTTTTGATACAAATTCAACACAGAAGAAATAGGCCATTTCATTGAATAATTCCAAGCCCTAAGAGATAGCATAGTATACTAGATTTTCCCGAATCGGTTGTTTTAATGTTAAATTTTAGTTGGCGATTGCTTTTACCTTCGAAATCTGTCACCTGTAATCAGGAAAAACGGAAATTAACTGAATACCATGTTTTACACTAGTAGGTTGATCCAAAAGTTTGATGACATATGCCCCGTTGAAACAGCAGTGGATAATTATTTGGGATCAAATAATTTTTGATATTTATCCTTGAAACGTTTTCAATCTGAACAGTCTCGTTATCAATCTCTATATACTTCATTTCATAATTTAACTCTATAAATAATCAGTCTACCTAAATTATCCATTTGGTATTATTGTTTCCTTGTTTTGCTACTTTGAATCCTTGAAAAATGAATGTATACCATTGTATAAGGCTTTTTTTACTACGTAAGATATGTAGTTGTGAATAGATATTGGAAAGTTTCTAAGCATTTGGCCAGTTTTCTTATAACAAATATAAGCTATCCCACCTAATCACCAGTTTCTTTCTTATATGTTGTTGCTTGTCATCTAAAGTCGCAATACTTTAGAATTTGTGAACATGAGGATAACTTTTAGTGGGGCTCTTATCTGACTCCAATTAGATCGTATGTATGATTACCGTCAAAGTATACATACATCTTGACTAAGTCTTTATATATTTCTAGTCGGATAGAAATAAATTACAGACATTTGATGAATAGGATTAAAAAAAAGTGCACATACTCTCATAGAAAAACAATCAAGGTTGATAAGTGAATAATTAACATGGTCAAAACGTGACTCAAGAAGAATGGATAAATTGGCCTGTCCACAAGCTACAATAAGTTATATGAGCTTAACATAGTAATGGACACTACATAGCCCCCTTTGTAAAAAATAGCACATTTATTTTGAAAAATGTCTGTTTTCCAAAATAATACAGAAATAATATACGTTTAATATGAGTGAAAAAATTGTATTATATCTGACAGAGTATAGTTTCATGTGAAGAGTGAGTATATTATACGAAAGTGTACTACTTACGTGAAAATGTACATGGATATCACGTAAAGGCACTGACAAAAATGGAAACGGTAGCATGGAATTATAAGCAAATTAATAAGCGTACCAAAAAATTATTTAACATACATTTGTGTTGTGACTATCTGGGTGTTAAAATAACAAGTTCGTATGAGCGATTCTAAATATTGTGAAAACAGAATCATAAATCGATGATGGATTTGAGAACGGAATAAGTTAGGTAAGATTAACATACTAACGGACACAATAAACGACTAAAAAATTACGGTAAATAAATATTTTAAGATGGATAGTTTCTAGCAGTGAAATTCAGAACGCGCGTCTCGTCTTATTTGAAACTCGTCAGCTGGATATATCCCCATTTAGAGTTGAATTAAATAGTGCTGGATTTGAGTCTCAGAGTAAACATCAACTCCGAGATGAAGATGCATCCAAACTTCTACCTGAATTTTGTGTTGATGATAACGTTCAGAAGAATGATGAAAGCTTCACGACTAAACTATCCAGCTCAGAGAATAAGACTCTATCGAAATCATCCACCTGAGCTAAAAATCTTTTCCACCATCTCCAGATGCATTCAGCTGACAAGTTCCAAACGGAACGAAACGCATCAATCTGTATTCCGCTGTTAACCACTATCCATCTTTCTTCATAATACTTGTGAATTAAGTCAATATCAAGTCAATACTCACAGTATGCATATATATATATATATATCAATAACAAACTGGTCAATTTCAGTCCTAAACATCAATATAAAGATCCAAGTAAACAATATCAAATGAAGTAAATTACAATTAAAATATGAATCAATTGAAATCCTCTTATACTTACTTACTTACGCCTGTTACTCCTAATGGAGCATAGGCCGCCGACCAGCATTCTCCAACACACACTGCCCTGGGCCTTCTTTTCTAGTTCCATCCAATTCTTGTTCATTTTTCTCATGTCTGTCTCAATTCTTCGGCGTAATATTTTATTTCGTCTTCCTCTTCTCCTTTGACTTTGAGGATTCCATGTGAGGGCTTGTCTTGTGACGCAGTTGTATGTTTTCCTGAATGTGTGTCCTATCTACTTCCAGCGCTTCTTTCTGATTTCTTCCTCTGATAAAATGTGGTTTGTCCTCTCCCACAGTAGGTTGTTGCTAATAGTGTCCGGCCAACGGATCTGAAGTATTTTGCGTAGACAACTGTTAATAAACATCTTTATCTTCTGGATGATAGCTTTCGTAGTTCTCCAAGTTTCCGCCCCATACAGTAGAACCGTCTTGATGTTTGTATTGAAAATCCTGATCATGGTGTTGGTTGACACTTGTTTTGAATTCCAGATGTCCTTCAATTGTAAATTTACTGCTCTTGCTTTACCGATCCGCGCTTTCACATCTGTATCAGACCAACCATGTTCATCAATGATAAATCCTTTTTATACTATTACTAAAATATTTATTTATGAAAATCATTCTATTTTTGTTAATTCTTTTATTCTCTTTTATAGATTTACCAAAGTTTATCATGGAACCAATGGATAGAATTTATTATTCATCTAATCATCCATCACAATTTATTACTAAATTACAATTATATGCATTAATTACACCGAAAAATGCTACAATACAACTTGGTGCTGTACATAAAGATAAACCAAATATGATTATATATTTACCGACAGTTATAGAATATTCAACGGAATCATATTCAATGACATTTGCTCAAACTCATGCTAAAATTCAATCTATTTCATTCAATGATCATTTAGATCATTTAAATGATCTCATTTCATATATAAATAATTTTGATAATAGTAATAGTAATAGTAATGGCAATAATAATAATAATATTAATATTAATATTAAAGAAAATATCAATCTTTGGTCAATTACTGTATATAATTTTTTACCAGATATGAAATTATTAGTCTTAGCAACTACAAATTATGGTACAATGACTAGTCATTTAATTGATTTGAAAACAAGTGGTAAGTTGTTTGTCTGTTTTTTTTGTTCTTTTTTTTGCTATTCAATCAGTATCCATCTCATAATAGATTTATTTACTTCATGTTAGTTGAACTAATAAAACAGTAATGAATTGATGAATTAGTCAGATGCAATGCAATCGTTTTCTGACGTTGGCGTGTGCGAAACTGAAGGATCTAGGTTTGGATCTCGTTATGGTGTGTACTATTGATATCGACATAAGTAGGGTATGATGTTAGTCGTGAATAGAATGTCTGGTAGCAGAGAGACAAGGGGATCGAACAGTAAAGAATTGAAACAGAATGCAAATTGTATGAAAATGTAAGAACAATGAAGTCTAAGTCATTCTGAGACAGTTGATGGACATTTTGTAAATTAGGCATTTATGATATGATTTTATTAACAAGTCCTGTAATTTCATGTCAAATACATCCGATTGTCCTCATTCGTCTTCTTGTTCACTACACTGTGAGCGGGATCGTGGGTGTACATTGATGAGGAGTTCAACAATAGGACGAAATGGTCATTTAGTGCTTTAAGATATTAGTGGTGGTTTAATATCAGTTGATTCAAGATGCATTGATAGATAGATAGTACTTTTTTAGAGTTTAAAATTAAAATGATCTGAATTTGTATGAAAGAGTTTTTGTATCATATACTGATCTTAACACTGAAAACCTTATTGTGAATCTTTATTATTTATGTAAAGAATAAGTATATTTTTCAAATTTTTACTTATTTATTTAAACACACAAATATTGGTACAAAATGGCACCAAATAGATATGCACCACGTAAAGCATTCGATTTGTGTGACAGCTGTGATACTGTCCGGATGACCAGACTAAAGCAGGTGGTTTTCTTAGGAGGCCACACACGAAGCCGTCGACCTAAAGGTCTGATCCATAAGGCAACGTAAGGAGATGCAGTCCCATGGTAGCAGGTGACCAACGATTAGTTCATACTCCATTTGTTCCTTCAGGATACTGGAGCCCATGTGCACGATTAAATTTGGAATCAGGGATTTCCAACTCATTTAGGTGAATACTCTATATCCACCAACCCGGTTGAAGCACCAGATATTGGCTTCCCGTTCTCTCAACTTCGCAAACAACACCCCTGGCTCGAGAAGGCAGTGAGTAGGACTTCCCTGTCAGTGGTAGAATGCACGTGGCCATGTGATAGCATTTCGAGAGGGAGAGCTGACTCTCCCCACTCTCGGCCGTACCAGGGCATTTGAGGGCTTCAAATTTTTTAGTTTGTTGATTTACAGTATCTATTTATATTACCGGGATTCTAATTGAATAAAAACTGATTAAACTATCCTAAAGTCACATTTAAAGTCACTCAAGACCATTGATATTATTATAGTTTCACTAGTAGGCTCAACAACAATGACGTAGTAACAATGCTAACAAAATTTAATGCTCTCACAGTATTATAAGATATTTACACTAATATTTATCACTGTAAGGTAACCAAATCGAAATGTATCTTGTTTTATTTCTAATCAAATTCAATAATGTTGAAATCTTCTCAGTAGTACTTTACAACATAAGTCAAGGGGAAAAGAATTTGCCGTGTACTTTGCATTATGCATAACAGAAATAACACTTTCAACTACCTTGGTTCAAAGTAGCTGCGTGTAAATACTGAATATCCTCAAAGTAATAATTTAAAAGCGATGGATAATCAGAACATCATTTGAAAAATTTGTTTTCTCAAACAAGAATCATGTAAAAAAATATAGATAGTTCTAACCCACTTAGGAAATACACAGTACGATTTTCGATTATTTACCACACATCATCAAGCTTAGATTATTTGTAAAGAATAATGTGGTTATAACTGTAAATAAATAAATAATTTATAAGCACTTTTTCCACTAATGTTTATGAAGTAATCAGAAGGCGGTTTTGTGGAGATTTTAGTAACTTAATAGTTGGATTCATGAGTCTGACTTCAAGAGGTATAACATGGAGTTCTAATGATCAGTGGAGTTCAACCAGGTCTGTTGTCAGATAGTAATTCACTGAAAACAATGGTGAATGGCGGCGCCACTAAGTGTTCGCTTGCAAGAGCAAAACAGGTCCTGGGTCCGGAATCGCGGATGCGCACTACTGAGGAGTCCCATACTAGGTCGAGATGACCGTCCTGTACTTTTGAGTTTTTCTTGGTGGTCTAGCTTCAGTTGATTTATGAATTCAACTATTAGTTGATGAAATAACACAATTCTTTGTTTATCACAGAGGCATAGTAAACGATTTTATAAAACAGAATTAAACTAAATCAAGAAAACAGGTTGATGTCAGACATGAAATGAATTTGTATATATTTTCATTCGTGCATTTTATTTTGTACTTAATTTGGCCTATTCTACAAATACACTAACCTCTAATTGGTTGTTTGATTTTAAGAGAACAAAGACATTTTCATCTATAAAAAACAAGGAATAGATGAATGAACATTCATTTTTAATTGGCTTGTCATCAGGCTTTAACAATTAGGATTCCATGTTTATTATATTACAATAGCCCAAATAAAGGGTTATTTGAATGAATGAATGAATAAATGAAACAATGTTATCTGTTAAAATAGTGAAGTTTTTGCATCAGTTATGGTTTCAACCCTTGTAAAATGTATCATTTTTAAACTTGACAGATTAGTTGAGAATGAGGCAGGAAAATTCATTACAAAATGTCAAGTTATAATCACTAAAGTAAATATATAATATCATAGACTGAAATCATGAGTCAATTGAAGCTAGACCACCATGGAAAACCTGAAAGCACTGGACAGCCGTTTCGTCCTACTATGAGGTGTGCTACTGATATCGATAGATATTAGCAGTATAATATCACCAGTCAAAAGTGAAAAGCCTGGCGACAGAAGGTTAAGAAGATAGAAGAGAAGAGAACGAGAACAGAGAGTGATTGGTATGTAAACGAAGGAACATTCAAGTCTGAGATAATTGATTGACTATTTGTAAATGAAGTATTTACTGTATAGTTCTCAGATTTACTAATCTGTCATTTTGTGTCCAAATACATTTGATTGTTCTCGTTCACTGCATCAGTATGAGGCCCCCCGTGGCTGTGTATCCTCGATCTCACACAAGAGGCTCGAACCCTAACCTTTGGTCCCATAGTGAGACAAAACTGATGTCCAGTGTTTTCAGGATTTCAATGGTAGTCTAGCTTAGATCGACACATGAATTCATCTGTTAAAATTACTACAATCTTCACAAATCCACACAGTGATAATAAATTACATAATCACATTTATTCACTAGCTACTGATTCATTCGATTCTGTTGAAATTATTATACCTAATAGAATTATAATAATGATTATTATTAAAAGAAGAATATTCTAAAGATTATTAGCTGAAATTATCTGATTTACTTATCAAGAATATAAGAATCCAGACGAGAGTAACCTGCCTAATTCATTCATCATAAAATGGAAAAACAAAAAAATATACAAACAAAAAAATACTTTGATAGAATAACAACAGATTTACAACACCAACAACAACGAAAAAAAAAGAAGATAATTCTCTTAATTCATAGAAGTCTTGACAACATCTGTCAGTTTCCATGAATATTATGTTTCTTTTTATTTTTTTTATAATGTGAATATGTATATCATTGTAAAATTCAATAAATAGAGAATAGTATTTGTTGGACAGGTTCCATTTTGTTATCTATGATATATCATTGTTTCTCTTTTTAAATGTATTGTCTTGATTATAATTGATACCTACCAAAATGACGGTATTCGATTGGATTATTCAATGTATTATTCCTTTGGATAAAATAATAATGATTTATTTATGTTCTGAAAATAATAATTACAGAATTCACGTCAGTCTACAGGCATGATCAATTTGATATAAATAGTAACGTTAGACGTGCAGAACAAACATGTGATAAAAGAAAGTTTTAAGTATACTAGTTCAGTAGTTGTTTAAGTAGTACATATATTACAGCGATCCAATGCATCAGCCGGGAATTTTTAATATTTCTTAAATGGACAGCCTGTTGATTTATGAACGGTGTAATTAAGGTCAATTCGTATGCCAGATCGAATTAATGATAATTATCTACAACTAGAGAAATTAAAACGAAAACACAGAGCACGGAACAACAAAGCAGTAATTACCAAAATATATCAATCAGGTCTACCTAAATGCGTGTGTCATGTGACACAGTGATACACTATTGGTGTTATTCAAATTAATTAAACTTGCTAGGGACGGTGTTAACATAAAGTGACAACAGGCAGGTGGTTTTACTTAGGGGATTCACTAATAAAAATGGCTAAACATTTAAAGTTCCTATAATATTACTTGTGGAATGAGATACACTTCTAGGTGCTAGGACATTCAATGCATTTTCACAGGAGCATTATGCGTCGATGCAGCAAACAAATAATGAGAGTGATTGTGGTAAGTTATTCCAGAGTCTAGAAAATTTACAGGTCAATTAATTCATATAAGGAGATGATTTAGAATGAGTTTGTTTCAATAGTGCCAAGGAATTATGGATGCCATAATGAGAAGTTTCTGCATATTGAATCACGTGATTAGATGTAAACTATAAAATATATTGATAATTCAAAAAAATAATATGTATTAACAATGATTTTGTTACATTAGTAAATTCAAAGCAAAGATGGGTGCTGGTTAATCGTGGAATTGAGAACTCGCATTCCGTCAGCTGGATGTATCTGCATCTCAGTGTTGATGTTCACTCTGGGACTCGATTCCAGTACTGTCAACTTCGAACGCCGTCACGCTATCCATTTAGTGACTGTGCCCTGATAGCCACTTTCTTGTGAAATAGAGTGAAGTTTAAATTCATTTGGTTTTGTTTATTTGAATCTTCCCATTAATGTTTACGACTGCAATTGATCGGCCTCTTCACTACTAGTCACCATCCATCTTTGCTTAGAATGTTTGTGACTTAAGGCAATATCCAGGTAATCCGTTCAGGGTGCGCATAGGAAACTGATCAATTGCAGTCGTAAACATCATTGAGAAGATTCAAATATACAATACAAAATGAATTTAAACTAGTAAAGTTGAAAAAAATGGACTGAATGCCGTGAATTTGTTGTGTATGTATATGAGTTTGAGCGACGGAGTTATCTTGAATAAATTCAAAGTATTTCAGGGAAAAGTGTGATGGTTTCAAGAAGCTTATTGTTTCTAGATGTTCATCAATAATTTCCGGATAATAATTTTGTAGAAATACCTTTACATAATCTCTCTAATGAAAGTGCTAATATACTCAAGTTAAACAATTTCCTCCCGTATCTTTCTAATGGACATAGTTTGATAGAAAGTTAATCATCGCTCACAAAAAAATTTTTATTTACAAATTCTTTAAAGAGTTATGGTGATCAAATAACAAGAGAATCATCGTTGTAACCATATGAATATGAAGATGTCATGAGTAGAATTCACTGTCTATTTTAACATTTCTATTATCCTAGCACCTCTATAATTCAGTGAACCATTAATAAATTTATTTATTTATGAGTTTATAACAGACATGGTGAACTGAAATAAGAGCTGATTGCTTCATGTGTTGTGTAACATCTATGTAAGAAGAAATGGAGCCATAAACAAGTTTTGGTAACTACATTTTATACTATGGTAACAAAATTTGTTCTTCTTAACATTTTTGGTCAATTTCTGATAAAAAGCTATCAAGTAACTTTCTAGAATTCCTATTGACTTATCCTTATACTACCTTCTTTACACTTTGTATAATTACAACAGCCTATTAGCTGGAGATCAGATCTTTGTTTATAGCCAATTTAAGTATGAAGATTTTAAAACGTCTTTACTGATGGTCTTTGATGCTGTGTGATGGTGCAAACATTATGGATTGGACAAATTATAAACACACTTTAAAATTGTTCTCATAAATTCAATAAATTCTTATGAAAGGATAGTCAATATTTGTTCATTATTCATGTTCAGATCTGTATCACCCAGGTTCACAGTCTTAGGTGCTACCACTAAGCGGTGATTGATCTTGTTATGGCTCAAACTGACAGCCGATTATAAGACAGTGACTTATCGATCGGATCAAGGATTCAGAATCTCGATAGACTATTCTGGTCCGTTGTCCCCAACTCTGCTAACTCGATCAAGAAGTCCGGTAAGGTGTAGAAAGTGTATTCTACAGACAAACAGCAGATAACAAGTCAGGCAGGCAGATCAGATCAAGCATACAAGTCAAGCGTATTTATACAATTATTTACAATCGATATTGTCATAGAAGATTTTTGAACATTAATCAACAATTGACTGCTATTTGAACATTTAATCGATAGTTCATCAATTGACCTATTTGTACATTTAATCGATAGTTCATCAATTGACCTATCTGCACATTTAATCGATAAGTAAATTACAAAATTTGAGTTTTGGGGATCTATCGTCCCCAACACTCCTCCCCTTTTTAGAAGATCCGGAGTTGATATCCGGATTTTAAGTTTTCCAGGTCCATCCTCCCCCACGAAACAGTGTTGGATCCTCATATGCCCACGTTATAATTAACTTGAATTTATTTAAGACATATTTATCGCACTGAACAGAGAATTGACTGAAAGTGATTAAGTCTTGAGGCTGGACAACACTTGATATGAGGTGTTCGAAGTTTAATTCTTCTGAAATATTGTGACCAAATTTATTTGGAATCTTATTTGTAGATAATCGATCATCAAGGTAATTAGCATCTATCAAAATTGTATTAAGTTTTTGATCATCATTTGATGGATCTGACATATTTTCTGGTAAAAGAGAATCTTGATAATAAGATTTGTCAAAAACATCTGTCGCAGACTGATGAGAACCATTTGAAGCAGTTGTATTCAGTGTACTGCTCGATTTGTTTTTTGTTTCATGGGTGGTTATTGCGACAATTCTATGAGCATTTACCAGGGAGTGTGTTTGTGAGCTGGATAAGTCACCGTCTGCACATGCTGTTTTGGGGATAATGGAGTTTGAGTCCATTACCGGGCATGTTTCTGGAATGGAGAGGACTGGACCACTGGGCGAATCTTGAGTGACTGTTGTACCGTTTGAAATACGGTTTATCGGGGATTCATTGGGGCTGCAATCATTTTCCAGCTCTGTGTGCAGTTGAGAGATCAATCCATCCACTTCCGCTGCATCTCCAAAGCATGAGTGATTTAACAGCTGCGTGCGTAACTTGACTAAAAACTCCAACTGTCTTTCAAATAGCAGCTGTACTCGATCGGAAGGGAGAGTCATTTTTTTTTATTCAGCACCGGTAATGCAAATTACTGTTTGATTAATGACCAATGTTGCTGAAGGACACTGATGACAAATCTGGATGCTGAAGGCTGACTTTGGATTGTTCTTTTTTTTACCCCGTCGCCAATTGTTATGACTCAATGTGACATTATTCTTCTTCGAAATAAAAAAAACCCAGACAAAAGGAATTGTATCTTATCAAAGTTAAATAAGAAACTGTATCATCTTTCTTCTTCTTCTTTTTCTGCTTAATTTTATTTCTCAACGAATAAAACAGAAACAAAACTGAACAGAGAGAAAAACGGTAAAAAAAGAAATCAAACGTCTCAACTTTCTATTTTTTCTTGTCTTATAACGTTACTAGTTATCGTGTGATAAATAAATAATATAAAATGAGAAAAAAAACAATAAAAATTATATTCCATTTTTTTAATATTTTTAATGCGGTATGAAGTTGGTATTATGGCTCTAGAGAAAAAGAACCAAAAAAAAACCCCGGAGAGAACAGCTAAACAATATGGATTTTTACATCTATACACAAAAACAAAAAAGAACCCACCCTCCCCCACCTCACAAAATTGGTACACTTTTATTCAATAAGTAAATTTAGTATTAAAGGGCTGTGAACAAAGTTGATGTGTTTGTTTTTAGTTGTGACAATACACTGTAACTTTAATTTTTTTTTGTTTCTATACAAAAACAAATAGAAGTGAATGTCTAAAAGTGTTTAGGATAATAAAAAATTTCACACAAAAGTTTACTGACAGCTAAGAAAGTAACTTTTTTTGTTACTAAACGACTTCCAGAAACAGATTGTGGCTTAGTATTTCTGATGATTTATATCATCTATTGAAAAAAAAGAAACTATTCTCACTAAATTAAAATAAAAAATGATTTTCATAGTTGAATTCACGAATCGATCTAGGCTAGATCAATATTGAAAATCTGGAAACACTTGAGAGCCATTTTGGTCATAGTATGGGATTTCTCAGCAGTGTGCATTCATAATCCCACACACGGTACTCGAATCGAGGGTCTTCGGTTTCGTGCACGAATGTTTAACCTCTATATTGACTAGTGAATTCAACTGTGAAAATATTACAAACTCCACAAATCCCCATACTGATAAAAATTATTTGTTTACTATACTACTTTCAGTTGATCCACTCATATAATAAATAATTTTAATAGTTATTTCCAGGTTTCTCATGGGGGTCTATCTTCAATCAACTCATGAACTCTCAACTATTGAAATTACTACAATCTCCACAAAACCCTTTCTGATTCTAATCAACATATGCTCACTAGTGACTGGCTTCAAGTGGTATTTCTTGGAGTTCTATTGAAAAGTAGTGACCAGTGAAGTTCAACTGGGACTGGTGTGAGATGATAACTCACTCAAGACAGTGATGGGTCAATTTTGTGGATTAGCTAAAGTTAGACATTTACACCGTTGAGTGCCGGCCGGCGCAGTGATCTAATGGTTAAGTGTTCGAGCGCGAAAACGGTTGGTCCTTAGTTCGAATCCCGCGAGATGGGATCGTGGGTGCGCACTGCTGAGGAGTCACACATCAGGATGAGATGGTAACCCAGTGCTTCTAGGTTTCCCATGGTGGTTTCGCTGCAATTAACTCATGATCGCAACTATTAAAATTACTATAATATCCACAAAACCCTTCTCATTCTAATAAGTGATTGTTTAAGACGTACAAAGAACTGATTTATATTAAAATGAATGATCAGTAAACTATTTGACAATTGAGCAACTAGTATACCTTCTTCTTATTAATCATTGTTTCATTCTGTCTAGAAATTTTATTAAGAAATTCAGTGAGTTGTACATAAAAACGTTCTTGAGGTATGATGTATTTCATGAGATAATTATTTAACTATTCAATGATATTCATGATATCAGTCTAAACTCAACAATCTTCACAACTCTATACTGATAATTAACATGTGTTCACTAACGATTGGCGTCCAGATGGATTTCCTGGAGTTCTATCAAAAAGCTGTGACCAGTGAAGTTTAACCGTGTCTGTTGTGAGACAGTTACTCACTGAAGGCAATAGTGGAAGGCGGTGCAAAATGGATTCGAAACTAGATAACAAATGAGATTACGTACTAATCAAGGGGTAAGAAAGAATAGTCCATGAAATAACCAATAAAATATTATGTTTTAATTTCTATTTTACTAAGCATGATTTGTTTGTCTTATAATCTGTCATATTTTTGTTCTGCACTTTTTTTCTTTAATTATAGTTCTTCCAGCTTTCCCACCTCATTCAGATAAATATTTATCACTCCTTATTGGAAATACAGCAATTGTTATTTGTCATTTACCACCGTCACAACCATCATTACCTACAGTACATTTTTATCATAACAATATAAGATTAGATTTAACACAAAGTAAGTGAATTCAAATGATACTTTATTGATGTGATATTGTCATAAGGAAATGACTTTTATTCAAATATGTTATGATTTTATATCCGGCTTTTTATCCCAAGATTTATCCACCAATCAAAATACGACTTATACAATCTTAGCACTGTGCCAAAACCAATGACGTTCGACCGGTATGAACAGTCTAGCGTCCTTATTGGTTCTATGTCCACCTAGCCCGTCCACTTGAGTTCAGAACACCAAATGCCAGCTTCCAATATGCGAATCGAATCGAATCGTTTATTTCAGACATACCGGGTTTATATATCAAACAAACAGACCGCAATGCACCATAAAATAAGAAATAACATTTGCACACAATAAAGCCAAAAGGTAACTTAGAACATGGGAGGCAGTAGTTAATAAACTGAACATAGCTTAAGAACCGTAAATCGTACAATAATAAATTATAGGTCAAAATAGAGCTTATAATAAGAGGAACATAAATATACATAATCTAATTATTGAACAGTTATACCATAAGAATGTATAGGTAATATTAGTCAATTAATATATCTCAGAAGTTACTCGTGATTTAATCTTCGCTCGGATATAACAAAATAATCTTAATTCGGTTAGTGATTTGAATTTTAAACTAAAGATTAAGTTCTTGAGTTGTTGAGCTGTGTTTTCACAATTCAAATTAATGTTAATATGACCGGAGAGACTATAATTGATGGACGAACCAATCAGGTATAAGATAATAGGTCTCGGAGTTTGGCGCAGAATTCACTCATCCATTTTGGATATATAGAGTTTGGGCATTATAGCTGATGTCAGTTCGTATTGAAAACCCTAAATCTAATTCCTAACCTTAACCATCAACTGTAAATCATAATTCGAATTCCTCACACTAATTTATAACCCTCATTTTGTCCTAATTATCAGGTGGACACTCACAAGGTCACTATAGCGTCGCTCAAATGTCATCCATAAATTATCGTCTCATCATATGACCTAATACAACAGCTGACACATTACTCTTTTTTTTACGATATCACACAAATATTTGGAAGCGGAATATTTTTCAAAATAGATTTTCGTCAGATAATAGATGGGAATATAGAAAGATTAGTAACCAAAATAAATATTATTTTCCTCAATTTACATAGATTTTAGTATTATTCATATATAAATCAAATGTTCACTAATGGATTCAGTCGGTCAGCTGCAACTTAGGACCAGGCACATATGTGAATCGGTCGAAGTTGCCATAACTCATTAGTACAACAAGATGAACACCGGATTAATAGAAGTAGTTAATCCAGTGGTGGTAATATATAAAAGATTAAGTGATGAAATTATGTTGATTTGATAATGTGTATTATTCAAGAATTTGAGTACTCATATACTCACACCTGTTGCCCCTTGTAGAGCATAGGTTGCTGACCAGAATCCGTCAACCCCCCCCCTACTCTCCTCTTTCCTTTCCAATTGTTTCTAAGTGATATTCATTCTTTTGATGTCTACCTTCAACTCTTGAGTTAGTGTGTTGTTTGGTCGGTCTCTTTTCCTCTTTCCGTCAGGATTCAAAGTTAGGACTTACTAAGTGATATAGTTTGGTGATTTACATAATGTATATCCTAATCGCCTCCAGAGTCCAAGCGTGTAATTGACAAACAATTCAATCAAATACATTATTCAGAGTAAATATAAACACAGTCTGTTCAAAACCCGAAATTTTAATTTTCAAAATGCTACTTGAATTAAGATTCATACTATATTAAACTACAGGGTACATCGTTGTCATCATTGTTTAAAACAATCTTACATATTTATCGAAAGTCAGAATTTTCTAAATCATTGTTGTTTTAAGTTTGATAGTGTACTAATAGTTACACTATTTGCCACAATATGGTCGTTTGTATATTAAAATCAAAATGAGATATCTGGAGTGTCGTTTATTTTAGTAATCTTAGTAGCTCAGTTCACATATCAACCATACAAAAAAAACCAATTTTCATATGCTATCAACTGATAGTGACATAAAAAACAATCTGCAGATGTTAGGTCCCGATAAACAATGAATGGTAACTTTTGGGATATATTTATAAACCAATAATATGCATATATTTTTATCGTATCATTGTTAAATAACTAAACTGTTCATATTCCTGACCGTCTTATTATGAGCTTTATTTTGACCTATGATCTAATATTATACGTTTTACCATTCTTGAATTATGCCCTGTCTATTGGTTACTGCCTCCCACATTCACAGCCACATTTGGCCAAATTTTGTATAAATGTTGTTTTCTGATTTATGCCACGTTGTGATATCCTTGATTGGTATATGAACTCAGGATGTTTCAAATATAAGGATTCGTATTACAGAGGCTGAGGCTGGTGTTCTGGATTTAACTGGCTGAGCTAGGCGGAAAGCAGGACCAGTCAGGACTCTAAGCTGTTCGCACGTGTTTTATGCGTCCTTAGTCCGATCAACAATTCGCTGCTTCTGATCGGCGGCCTTGGGCTATAACAGCAGATAATATATATATATATATATATTTCTACATATAGGGTACGGTCACCAAATTATAAGGACTGGGAACGTTCAAGGTATGTTTTAATGTGACACTGATACTATCAGTTGGGTTAACACATTTAAACACTTTCAAAACAACATTTCGTTGACTTTATCAAAAAAACTTTTTATTGTTTTTCGAAAATTTACCTCTATTCAGCTGACAGATATCGTTTAATTTATATTGGTGGTGATGATTCTGGTTTACCATGGGAAGTACATTCACAGAAACCTCATTTTAGACAAGAACATTTAAAGAAATACAAACCGAGTGCTGTTATCTTGCTCATTCATTCACTTCAACTTTCTGACACTGGACAATATTATTGTTCAGTAAGCTTATTCGACAAAACAATTTCATCAAATCAAAGAACTCATCTGGTTGTGACAAGTAAGTTATTATCTTATTAAATAATTTTTGTAATAAAAATATGTAACTCATTAATTTCTGTTTTGATAAAAGAATTTGGAAGTGGATAGGACTTACATTACGGAAATCACCAAACTGCATCTGGAAGTAAGCCCTAACTTTGAATCCTGAAAGGAAGCGAAAAAGATGAAGTTCGACGAACACACTACGTTGATAATTGGAACCAGATATGAAAAGGATGAATAACAACTGGAAAGAACCGGAAAGATTTGCTCATGACTGGGTTGGATAGAGAGTGCTTGTGGGTAACCTATGCTCCTACACGAGGATTAACAGGCATAAGGAAGTAAATATGAAATGATTTAGGTATACAAACTTCTGAAAAACGAACAAACTCCTTCTTATGCCATTATAGTGTGTTTAAGATAAATATATCAATACTGGTCTACTGTACAAGAATCCAGATAGTCGTATTTTCAAATCCATAAACTGTTGAGATAGTGAAATTTGGAATAATGGAATTAACCATCGTCGATAAAGGTTAAAAATAGTGCTACAAATTGATTGAATTATCAAAGAAGATGCAGACCATTGCCTAAAAATTCATTGTGTTTACCTACAATCATTCTGACTATGATATTTGAAGATACTTGGTTCCAAACTAAGAAAAATAACACTTTAAGGAAATATAAATTAACCAATCTTAATTCTTAATACCTCACTAGTTGAATATTGCATCGAAATAAACTAGATCTTTACATAGACTGTGAAATAGTAGATGTTTCTTTGAAATATAAACTTCGGAAGAACTGTGAATTGTTGTAATTACCTCAACGTTTGTAGATACTATTTTCTTGTTCAAGTTAAATGCTTTTTATAGTCAAAATAGAAGTTCGTTTACACTATAATAAATGGAACAGGCAATTATCTATGGTAATTATTTTACACTTACATCAAAAAATCCATTGTTTATGGATTGGTTGAAGTTAAACATTAACACCGATGGATGCCGGCTCAATAGTCTAGAGGTTAAGCATTCATCAGTCAGTCAGTTAGCAACAACGTAGAACTTCGTATGTACGTACATCAGTTCGAGTTGCCACACCACATTAGCACAGAGATGCAGTTGTCCATTCAAATCCTGTAGTGGTAGAGGCGGTAAGAGTATAAGCAGTAATCGGAAAAATCAGGACTTGAAGATGTTATTTAAGAAGTATAATACACCTACCAACATTACTCAGTCCACTTGTCAGTGACTTCATGGACTTGTGCCATGTTTTGGTCTGACCACCCGTAGCTTTCTTCCAGCCTACTCCTATACCATTGAGCATCACACGTCGAGGCAGTCGGTGGTTGGGCATACGTAACACGTGTCCCAGCCATCTCAACTGATGGATTTTCACTACTTCATCGATTTATTTGCCATACTTATCTAGTACCCGTTTCCTGACAACTGCGTTACTTACTCATGCGCGAGAATGATAGTTCCTGGGTTAGAATCTCACGAGGCGGGATCATGCATGTGTATTGCTGAGGAGTCCCATGCTGGGTCGAAACAGCCATCCAGTACTTCCAGGTTTTTCCGTGATGATCTAACTTCATTTGACTCATGAATTCATTTATTACATTGTTTATTTATTATATCTAATTCCATATAGAAAAAAGATTCCATTCACGTGATGTCTTAAATGTAACATCACTTTAGAGATACATGTATCTAGTAAACTAAACCAAGTTGATCGTTTAAAACTAAATCCATTAGATGAATTCAGGTCAACTTTAGATAACAAATGAAATGGATTTTAAATGATAAATGTATAATGCCTGATTCTTTTTTTCTTTTAAATATCAACAATATAAGGAATAAGTAATGCATTAAAAGGATAAAACATTTAAGTAAACATGTATTCTTGTATGATTGACAAAATAGTGTAAAAAAACAAGGAGAACAAAAAAGGAAGGAAACAAACGTTTTATTCACATTTCTTTTCTTTTTGTTTTTTTCTTCTAAAGTTAAAATGACCTAACAGGATGTAATTTACACTTGTGTTAACCCTTTTTTTTCCCTTATTTTTTGTTACCTCGTTCCTAGATTTTTTTCTTTTTTTCTTTTTTTTAAATCACCAATGTTAACACGGCATTTTTTGTTCGTTTTTCCCTTATTATTAGAAATATAAATTTGTTTCCTTAATTGTTTCATATAACACTAGTCAGCCTACTTATGTATTTACATGTCAATAGAGTAATTAGTTAATTTGTATACAAGAGATAATTAAATAGGTAACAACTGTTCTATGATAGTTTCATTCGATGTTTCCATTATGATCTAATTAATAGTTATATTCATAAATTCCTGTGATTTAAAAAGTTAAAAAAGCTTATTTATTTAGAAAACGTAAATAGGAGAGTTGTTCATATAGTTAGTAGATACATCGCACGTGACCGTCGGATCCTGGATTTGAATCTCGCAAAGGGGGGGGGGAGAGTGCATGCACACTGCTGAAGAGTTACACAGCAGTATGAAACGGCCGTCTAACACTTCAAGGTTTTCAATGGTGGTTTAGCTTCAATTGATTCATAATCGTAACTTAAAATTACTATAATATGTATAAATATCCCTTCTGATATTAAGTATCTCTTTGTGAGAAAAACGAGCTACCATAGTTAATCAATACATAGAGTTTGAAAATAGACGTTACCATAGGTTGATATTAATCGGGGAAGCACTTGAAATCAAAAAGTGCCAAACAGCCCTATCATAGTGTTTTGAAGCTTCTCAGAAGTGCACTCCTACTATCTTCAACTATGATAATTCAGCTTGTGAGAACCATACACTAAATACTTCATTTGTGAAATGTCAATCAATCGTTTCAGATTTCAATGTTCCTTTATTTCCACACCAATCATTTTCTGTTCTCGTTCTCTTTTCTTCGATCTTGTCAACCTTCTACAGCAAGGTATATCACTTTTGATTGATGATACATACTACTTATGTCCGTTGACATCAGTAGCACACACCACATTATTAACAGTAATCATATTATAATCGAGAACTCTGAGTGGTAGTCGTAATAGCTAGAATAGTTGTGAACTTTTCAAAAAGAAATGTTTATTTAAAAAACCTGATATTTGAAATTTTCATTGTATAAATTAGGTTTATGCTAAACCTTTAAAATATAAGCAAAGGGTTGAAATATCTTCAATAGTAAAGGGGATTCGTGGATATCGTTGCGAGACTTGTATAGTCCATAATTCTCTAGTATGGTTATCCATGGATATTGCTGAAGAATCCTATACTAAGACAAAAGGTATTCAGTTTTTGTCTAAGTCAACCCATTTCATAATCTAAACCGTAAAATACAGAAATTAATCACTTGGCTTAAAGAATGTTGAATATTTCAAAGTTCAAGGTATCCTTTAATAGTAGAACCCTAATTTTTGCTAACCACTATTGCATTGTATTAGGACAGGCAACTAAGCGTCAAGAATATTTGAACAGTTGGTCATAACTAAAGGTAGAAATTGAAAAGGATGGATGAAAAGATACTTACGCCTGTTACTTTCAATGGAGCATAGGCCGCAGACCAGCATTCACCAACCCACACTGTCGTGAGCCTTGTTTACGAATTACATCCAATTGTTGTTCATTTTTCACATGTCTATCTCCATTTCTCGGCGTAATGTGTTCTTTGGTCTTCCTCTTCTCCTTTGACCTTGAGGATTCCATGTAAGGGCTTGTCTTGTGACTCAGTTGAGTGTTTTCATCAATGTGTGTCCTATCCATTTCCAGCACATCTTCCTGACTTCTTCCTCCGCTGGGATCTGGTTTGTTCTTTTCCACAGTACGTTGTTGCTAATAGTGTCCGGCCAACGGATCTGAAGTATTTTACGTAGACAACTGTTAATAAACACCTGTATTTTCTGGATGATGGCTTTTGTAGTTCTCCAGGTTTCTGCCCCGTACAGTAGAACTGTCTTGACATTTGTATTGAAAATCCTGACCTTGGTGTTGGTTGACAGTTGCTTTGAGTTCCAGATGTTCCTCAGTTGTAAATATACTGCTCTTGCTTTGCCGATTGGCGTCTTCACATCTGCATCAGATCCACCATGTTCATCAACGATACTGCCCAAATATGTAAAGGTTTTTATGTCTTCCAAATCTTCTCCGTCAATTGTGACTGGATTGGTGCATGCTGAAAAGCACTAAACTGAAATTTGATGATGATTCAAGGAAAGAGGAAAAGTAAATACATGTGTCCCACTATCACTGATTTAGATCATAGAGCTCAAAAATGAACAAACGTTATCCGCTTTTTTTGAATGTCTTTCAAAAATTAGGCATAATATCATTCCACTTCTTTCAATATTTGGTCTAATTATTTTCTTCCAAACTACATTTGATGTACTTATCCCAATATTTCTTTACACTTTATTATTCTGTCTACTCTTCTTTTATTCTTATGGTAATGACGTAAAGCTTAATAGTTAAGTGTGATACATTTTTTAAGTCATGCTGTTTCAAAGTAACATATTGTCTAGTATTAAAAAGCAAAGTATCACAAATAACAATTTTATCTTTGATGATTCCTCGGTTTCAAGAAAATATAAGAGTTGAATTCATGAATCTATTGAAGCTAGAAATTATTTCAAAATTCAATCAATTAGTGAAGAACATTGAGTTTTAAAACTTTTAAGTGATACATTAAGGTAGTGAATGTTTATCTGCAGAGATAAATAGAATGCCGGATCAGTGGTCTAGTTGGTTGAGCGCCTGGCGCGAGACTGATAGGTCCTGGGTTCGAATCTCGCGGAGGGAGGGATCGTGGATGCGCACTACCGAGGAGTCTCATACTAGGACGAAACGGCCATCCAGTGCTTAAAGGTTTTCCATGGTGGTCTAGCTTCAATTGACTCATGATTTCAACCAGTGAGAATCAAATATCCCAATAAGAGTAGAGGATAAACATCCATTATTCTCTATTAGCAAACACATAATAGAAAGAGGTCACAAGACTGATCTT